AACGTTGTCTCCTGGCTGCAGCTCTGCAGCATCTGGCACCTTCCGCCGTTCCTGCAGCACCTTGGAAACACAGCCAGGGCTGAGTCTGACCACACAGCCCCGTGAAGATGCCACGGGGTACTGGGTGTCAGGCTGAGAGCACTGACATGGAGCAGTAAACCAGGGGGGATGACTAGAGAGAAAGTGCCAAGGCTGCCCCAGCGGGGCACCCGAAACGACATCAGTAAGTTTGGAGCAGCGGATACACCCCCTGAAAGAATAGCTGGGCACTTGGGATGCCAACTGGGATCCAAAAAGCCTGTCTCCCTTGATGGCCTTAGCTCCAAAAGACCCCAGAGTGAGGCACTCTGGGCTGGGACAATGCCTGAGCACCGGGGGACTCCCAGCCAGGAGGAAGTTCCTCCCTGCCATTCCCTGGGCAGAGGAGGGGTTCCTGGTGGAATCTGCTGCATAAAAAGGCCCTTCCTCCTGCCTTGACCTTGAGAAAATTTGCCTCTGGACTATTTACACCACATCCCATCCTCGGGGCACATCCATAGATGTCCATAAGCACCTGGGAAGGAGCTTCCCACGTAGGGAGACCTTCCCAGGGGCTCAGGTGAGGTCGTCTCCTCCTGGGGCCGAGCCAAAGGCAACAGCCACCCACCCTCAGCTCTGGCCAGGCTGAGAAAATTTGGTTGTGCATGTGGGGCTGAGCGTAGGCGAAGCTCTTGAGCTTTGCTTTGCCAGTCCCAGGGACATGCTGGAATGCCCAGGTATTTTGGTGGCTTCCCCACCTGGTCTATCAGAACTGTACAGATTCAGGTGTCTCCCAGAATCTCTCACTTCTGTGGCTTTTCCCTTCTGAAAAGCTACGGGTACGTTGCTAATAAATGACAGAAACCATCCACAACTGTCAGGCACTGCCTCCAAAACAGAGGCTGTGCTTCAATTAAATGGCTGATTTTTTTTTTAAACCTAGGCAAACCAACATTTTTTCCACTGGAATCATTGTTGGCAATGACCAAAGATGCTTCAGTATGTACAAAAAACCCATTCTACTCGAGGCAGAAAGTTTTAGCCCAGACACTTGAACTCTGGCAACGACAAGGTGCTGATAACAGCAATCACAAAAGGCACAGAGGAACTGCTGGGACCAGCTGCAGGGCCAGTTTTACAGATAAACGTGACGTACGTTGCAAAACAAAACACTTACAGAAGGAAAGCCTGAGCTTTTTAATGGAGATCTCCCCCCAGGAGTGAGATGGGAGCTCTGCCAGCCCCAGGCAGGAGGGGTCCTCTCGTGGTGTGACAAGATGCCATCACAACACCGGAAAGGGATGTGGTCGCCTGTGTCCCCGGTGCTGGGAAACACAAGAGGAGGCAGCTCACGAGATACACTGACAGGCTCAGGAAGGGGAACTTAGGGCAGCAAAAATCAGCTTTTCCTAACTGCAAGTGCCAAGGCAAGGGTGGAGCCAAGCTGGCACTCACAAGGAGGAGAAACTTAACCCTGACTGCTGGACCTTGGCACGTGGGATTAGTCCTAGACAGGAATGACCTGCCGAGTGGTGTCTGATGGTTGCTCATCCTTCTGCCCCATTTCTACCTTCAGTTTTGTTTCTTTCTCCACTATAAAGTCCTTGGGCAGGGACATCCTGACTACCACCAACCCACAAAGTTCCAAAGGAAGTGTTTTTCACCCATATAGTTGCTCTGACCCTGCCCCTAGAACTCGCACCGTGAATAAAGCCATTTCTCACCTGTGGAGCAGCCAACCTGTCCAATGGCCCATCACAGCTGTGTGGATTCCATCTGGAAACAGGGACAGACCCTACTGGCACCCCCTGAACGATACAGATTTTTCTGTTTTCACACCCATAAAGTCACAGGGAGCTAAAAAGGAGTGGCTGGTCCCACGCACAGGGAGAGGCGAAACAGTAACTCCGCTGAACACCCCCTGCCACCCTTCACATGTATTTGCATCTCCGCTGTTTTGAATCCTGCAAATGGATTCCAAGCCATGAATCGTGAGCTTCCTGAACACCGGCCCCACCTCTCCTCTGCCTCTGTCGTGCTGCTGATGGTGGGGACATCACCTGAGCTATGGAGATGTCCAACTCCCTGCTGGGAACCCGCCCTGTGCTGCCAGGATAACAAGGCATGGGGAAACCCCGGCAACAGAGCAGCCCCCGGGATGTTTAAACCTGCTTCTTTTAATTACAAACCTCCAGCTGAGGCGAGACTGTGGGTCGGGAAAGGGCTGCTCAGGACTCCCCCACCCTTGCAGGAGCAGGGACGATGCTGGAGGCGCAGCCAGCGCGAAGCTGAATAACCTGTCCTGTGGTGCAGCTCCCCCACCCTGCTCTGCCCTCACACCCTGCCAAGGAGCAGCAGCTGGAGATGCCACCTCCTTCCATCCAGCAGGACCTGCCCTGGTCACGCTGCAAAGGGAGCAGTGGTGCTGGGGGGACGCAGCAGAAGGGAGCGGCCACTCGAGGACTAAAGGCCAGCGTTAGAAGGCGGCATAAAAGGTCATTTCTCAGCCCCTGCCTGAATATCTATTGATCCTGAAACGGGCAGTGAGAGGAGCATTCAGCGTGCCATGAATGGCTTGCCTTGTGGATTCATCTTCGTGGGAGCCACGCATGTGGAAGCCTGTGTCCAGCAGTGGAAAAAAAAATCTCACTAACCTATTTTTATCGCCGCCAGCAGAGTCTGGCAAACGTCTGCACGTTCTAGGCTCGGTTAGAAGTCACTTCTGATAGGGTTCAAGGTCCCCACTGCTCGCAGTTCAAGTTAGGTCGTCTCCCGAGAGCTGCCAAGAGGCAGAAACTGCAGGGGTGGCTATTTTATAATCATAATTATACAGTGGCCACAGGCATAAACCACCCCCTAAATTTAGAAACCCAACAAAACCCAGCCTGGGCTCTGCAGTTGGAGCAGCAACTCTCACCCAGTCCCTGGTCCCCCTGGGAAGTGCCTCATGGGTGGCAGCTGCAGACAGACTCTCACCTGCCCCCACCTTATCAGCCTGCTGCCAGCAGTGAAAAATAAAGAAAACAGGATGAGAAAAGATGCTTGGAGTAGTTGGAGGCAGCCTTGGCACTGTTTGTATCCTCGCCTGCAGCTGGAGCCCGGCTGGGCAGCTCTGCCAAGGCTTGTAAAAGCCTGCAAGGAAACAGGGCAGGGCTGAGCCTGAACTTCTCGGCACATCCCCCATGGAAACGGCATCTGACTCATGATTATCACGGGGATTTTAGGCCCCACCACCTTCTATCCCCCCTCCTCCTTCAGGACAACTGCTCTGAGCCCTCTCCTGCAAGGCTTGCTCGGAGACTCACCCAAAGAGCAAAAATAGTGGAGATGTACAGGCAGTTCCTCAAAACTGTCTGCAAACACTTCATATCCTTTTCTCCTGATGGGTGGAGAGCGAGACTGACTCCTGACTGGGAGAGCCTGTCAAAATAAATCCAGGCTTTTCTGTCTACTGCAGCAATTCCTTTGGGAGCTCTTTTGGAAGTCACCCTGGAGGTAGCTACATCCTCCCCTTCTGCAAACACGTCTTCTCTACACCCTCTGTGAGTAAGCCGATTAACTGCTGAGACATAGGGTGGATTTAAGTTTCTGAAGTGTAGTGAGTGGATAGGATTTACTCCAACCCTCCCAACGTGTGGGACTCACCCCTTTCTTTCCTCTGTGACCAGTTTCTTCCCACACCCTTTCCCCATTTCATGAACTGACTGTGATTTTGTTCCCCTGGAATCAAGGATGGATTTGATGATCTTGGGGGTCTTCTCCAACCTAAATGAGTCTGGGAACAAGGAACAAAAAAAACCCCCAAGGGCAGCTGAAGTCAGCAGTAAACTTTCATAGTGGTTGACAAAGCCACCTCAGCTCTTTCAGGTGCCACACTCAGTCAAAAACACTACTTCAGCTCTGCAAGAGCTCAGGCACAGGGCTGGGTCTCAAATTCCCATGAGACATTTTTTTCCCCTCCAGTTCTCACACATATCCACAGAAAAAAAATCATATCAGCTCCTTTCTGGAGTCATTCCACTCTCTGCAAGACACACAGAAGCATGATTACCATTTGAATATTTTTTTTTTAAATTCTTTTTTTTTCAGAAAGCCCATGAACACAGAACAGTGCAACATGTTACAGAGGAGAGCTGCATGGTTCCCTTAGACAAGTGACAGTGGGTAACACAAAGGTGGCAATACATTCATGCATCATCCAGAGCTTCAACCAGAGCCCAACCCTCACAAAATCCAGTTATTTCTCCCAGTAAATACCAAACTCCTTGCAAGAGAAGTGGGAACAAGCAAGGAATGCCAAGAGGCATTTGTAGTACCCAGAGGACAAAGACCAGAAGCTTCTGAGAACACAGATGAGATGCTACAGTGAGGGAACACGAGGTACAGCACATCAACTTGCTGGTGAGGACCCAAGTCCATGGGCAGCCCCCACCAGAAGGTTTTTGAGACAAAACCCACTTAAAAAGCCATTTAGAGTAGAAGCACAGGACAAATTGGTAATTCTTCAGGCTAAAGGGTTCCACACTGATGTCTCCACTCTCTCCCACATCCATTTTTTTAACTGCAAACAGGATAAAGCCACAACTCTGCAGCTGCAGAGCTGGCCAGTTAACTTCTCACGCAACTTGTGTTTGTTCCACTCGGAAACCTGAGATTTGGCACACGTTGTTTGTAAAGCCCTTGAGACTGTACCCTCTGTGGCTTTGGAGAAACAAAGCACAGAGCCAGCCAGTGCAAAAAATCCTGAGCAAACACTGGGGCATCTGCCTTGCCCAGGTGCCAGCTCTGCCAGCAGACAGGCTGATGGGAGGAGGCCCAGCTGGCCCCAGGGCAGAGCCCAGCCTGGCTGCAAGCAGGGCACCAGTGCCTGCACATCACCCTGGTGGCAACTCAGCCTTTGCCACCCCCCTCCAGGAAGGAGACAGCAAAATGTTACTGCAGGGACATTTTAGGAATGTTATATCAAGACCTGCTTTTGTTCACACACACACACGCCAAGGAAAGGAGGAATGGCCAAGCCTTCCCTAACATGCTCTGACAGCACCTCCCACTCCTTGGAATTCCCTTCAAACATGGCATTGACATTGGAGTTATTTCCTGCTTTGTACCAAAGCCCTAGTCACTTAATACTTGTTATGCAAGTTCCACTCCATGCTATGCATCAAACAGCAGGATTAATCAACATAGCAACATCTCTCCTCCCCCACAAACAATACATCTTACTCTTTATTAAGTATCAAATTGTCTCCAACATAAATTACATCCAAATTATGTTAAGTTTCAAGAAAGTCAGATATTTTATGTACAATATTTGTCTTGAGTCAGATAAACCTTTATCATTTTAACCTGTAACATAAAAAGCAAAACCTACATCAGTACCAAATAAAGCATTAAAAAGGTAACAAATATATAACTTTTTTAGAAATGCTCTCAGAACACTAAAGTTAATGACAAAGATTTTATAGTGCAGGAGTGTTGGGTCTGTAGCTCTTAGACCATCTCTCTTTCCCTGCGGATGGCACAGCAGAGGATCATACTGAATATCATGCCAATAATCTGTAAAGAAAGCAAACAGGTTGGAAATCAGGGAACCAAAGCATGTTCTTTTATCAGCATGAGGACAAGCACAGCTGCTCTTCCCAGCCCAGAGGGCAAATTCATTCTGTATTTATATCCTCTATTCTGCAGTACCTGCCCCTCCACCCCCAAAGTTCATTCTGTTCTCATGAATCCCCTTCACCTCACTATCTGAAAACGGATGAGCTCTAAAGCACTGCCATCTCTCCTAAGAAATCTGTGACCATCCCAGCATATTTGCATCCATCTTCTCCAGAGAAGTCAAACACAAAAGCTCAAGTTTCCTTAGCAGCACTGTTATTTCAGTTCTCTAGCAGAGACCTTCAGTTGTTATAAAGGAAAGAAAAGCAAGAATACACAAGAGATATTAGGATAAAGAACCCAAGAGATAGCAGGATGAAGAAGTGGGCCAGCAACACGACCAGCACATCTTCACTCTCTACATACACACACACCACCGATATCACTGATATGATTTCACCACTGCTAAAGCTACAAGGAGACAGATCCTAATCCAAAGTAGAAGCAGGGATCTCTGAGACATCCCAGCCTCTGCACTGCCCCAGGGCCCTGCAGCACACACCCTGATCCTGCTGGGGCTTGTCCTTAGTGGAATGGCCTTGTGGGCTGCTGTGCCAGGCACTGCTCTAAGTGAACACACAGCATCCCCTCTAAATGATCTGGGAACTCACCATCATCACAGCAATGCAAAGGCCAACTGCTCCAATCACGTTGAACTTCGATTTGAAGACCTCGTCGATGGCCTGAGGGCAGGACTGGAAAGGAACAGACCCTTCATTAGTGTTTCACACACACCAAAGGTCAGTGCCTGCTCCTCTGAGCTCCAGTCTGCTTGCACTGGAGAAAGCTTTCTCTTGAAAGCTGCTTTGATCTGGCCTTACTTTCACATCCTTAAACAGAGCCAGGGATGTTCCAAACACAAGAGCTGGTGCAGAAGTTTAAATCTACTCTTCGAGTCCCTAAACCCCTTTACAGCACCTTGGCTACAGCAGGATTCCCTTCTCAACACCTTCAGTCTATCAGGATCAACAGAAGCTGTACCATGCTTGGCTTGTTACTAACGGCTGTCAACACTTAAGCTGCTGCATATTGCTCATCCCTTCCCACAAGAGATTTATTGGAAGCCACTTCTTGATATTTCCAACTGCTACTGTAATTTTGCAGACACCTTATGGACCCACACTGCATGGGAATGGCAGGATATCCTGGGCTGCATGCATCCCTGGAACGGGCAGATTCCCAGAGGGGCCAGTTTGATGCTGCCAGGACAATGAATTACCATTGCAACAAAAAAAACCACCAAAAAACCACCACAACAACAAACAAAATACAAAAAACCCAACAAACAACCAAAACTCCCAAACCAAAACAACCAAACCCCAAAAAAACCACACACAAAAAAGTAAGTACAGTCCCTTCCCCAGAAAAGGCATGTGGTAGCCAGTTAAATACTTTTACAGAAGTATAAATCTTTAAGAGCCTGGTAGCTGGTCAAAGTCTCATCCCCGCTCCTGTCCTACTTGTTCCAGCAGCAAACTACAGCAAGCTGCTGAAAGCCACTTTTTTCTTCCTGTTGTTGTTCCTTATCCAGTCCAGAAAAAAAAAAAGACTGAACCAAGGATGAAAAGGATATTACTGGCAAGGATGAATCAGTTCAATCGGAATACCAATACAGCGCTGCTTCTTAGAGGCAACACAAATCAGCCACTCCACTCCATCCCTTTGATCTCAGTCTATCCACTGTTCTTCTGACAGCTGGGACTGGGCCATAGACACATCACAAGATGGAGTAAACAGATGAATTGAAACACCCAGCAGAATAAAAGCAAATAGGAAGAGCTGCGTGCTGTCCCAGCTGCTCCCATACACTCTAACTCAGGCTGCGTGGGCAGGACCAAACACACAGGTGTGACTACAGACTGAAGGTCTCACGTGGTCAGATATTTCAGGTTGTCACAAGTAAAGTAAAAAAAAATGAAGTCATTAATGGAATTAATGGAATTCCATTAAGAGCCCTATTTTCTATGGCAAGACTCATACAGACTGCCTTGGAGCGTGAAGCAAGGCAGGTGTAAGAAAACTAACCCTCTTCCTCTTTAAGAGCTACACAAGTTGCCTCTCCTCTTGTCTGTGGCACACAGGCGCCTCTGCAGCAACATTCCAACAGGGAAAACCTGATGCAGAGAACTGCCTTCCCAGTGACAAACTCATCTGGACAGGCTACCGATGTACTGACCCCCTCCCCCTTGCTAAAACTTCAAGCTCTACATCTCCCAAACCACGAGGGGAGGTGACACCCCCAGGAAGGTGCTGTGGCAACAGGGGCAGTGAGGAGAACAGAGCCCTCTTGCATTATGGGTTCATTTTAGACGAAGTTTTGATCTTTCCCTGTCCACCCCATGGGCCTGTGACACACAGGCTTGCACATTTCCTGCCGACCCCGGGTGTTCTTTCCACGGTAACAGCAACAAACAGGCTGACTACAGACACGGATCGGTAAGCAAGTGTGACACGTGAATTTTCCCCAGACTGGAAGGGTTTACTCAGAAGTGTGTTTCTCATTCTACTCCTTGGGCAGAGCTGGTGGTGAATTAAGTCACGCTTTACCTTGACAGTGAGTGACTCAGTCAGAGTCTTTTTCGGACAGGTTTCCATGAACAGCTGCTCGATAGTTCCAGTAACGCCACAGCAGTTTAGCTACAAGACAAAATAGGAAAAGACAGCCAGGTTAAATAATCCTTATTTTTGCTCAGTATCTGGTAAAAAAAAAGGAGAAATAAATTAGATTCATTTTTATTACAGACCTTAGCAAAACTTGAAGTCCAGTCAATGTGACTGCTATAAAACCTAATTTTAAGAAGTCTTTATTATGTTAAAGAACAAGGTTCTGAAAGGAAGAGAGCTAGATCTCATTAAGTACTCACACATTTGTTTTGGTGACAGCTTGTACTCCTTACAGGCACAGAGATGGACTCCTCACAGGTATGCAGGTATGCATTCCAGGGTGTCTCTAGCTCAGTATCACAGATCTAATCTAGGGTTTCCCAGCCTGCTTCTGAGCTTTAGGAAAACAAGAACTAGTTCTAGGCACTTCAGAGGGACACCCTGAATTCACTGATACTACACAAACCTATCTTCTCTGCAGTTTGTTACTAATAATGTCTTGGTTTCTTCTAGTTAGTAAGGTACTTGACTTACACAGGGGAGTGAAGGAGCTGCATTACTGTCTAGTTCAATCATCACCATGTACTTACAGCGAGCTGAAATGCTGTCAGGGTCTCTTTGGCACCTGCCTGATTTCTCTTCTTATAGGTGTCCATGTAGAACTCCTTCAACTCGTCCGTAATCTACAGGACAGCAAAGAGTTGTGGTGTATGACTGTCTTACCTTATTGTTATTATGGCAAACTTACACTGAGCAAGTCAGTCAACAAGAATTCGGCAGCCCACAACACCCATTCTTCTGACATGTACAAACAGAAGGTGAAAAGAGAGGGGGGACAGTATTTCTCACCTGAAACAAGTGAGCCTAACTCTTAAAAGCCACACCTGAGCAGCCAAGACTGATTTCCCTTCCAAAGCTCTTGAGCTTCCCACAAGGAATGAGAGAACCAAGTCTTTGCCCCCTGGTTGCCCCAAAAATGTTCACTATTGCACTCCAGAAGGTTTTATATTCCCCTGCTGTATAACACAAGCAGAAAAGCAACCCCGGTCCACCAAGCAGCTTATTTTGAAACAAGACAATCTTGACTGCTTGTGAGGGACAGGCCATCCTGTGCAGAAACACTGAGCCCTTTGCTGGCCCTGCTAAAGCTCCCCTGAGAGCCTATTTCATTTCTCAGCTCAGCCAGATTCTGCCTGGAGGGCACCTCTAGCAGATCCAAGAACAGCCTCTTGGATCCTGGCTTTCCTGCTGCAGTGTCATTTAGATATTAGAGTTAGATTTCTGGTGTGTTCTGTTTGAATCCCTTTTTCTTCCTCTCCCCCAAGCTCCCTGGGTAATGAGGATTTCACTCCTACTGGTGCAGATGTCAGCAGACTGCAAACTGTGGGCACATTCACAGCCTCATGGAATATTTTGGGGTCAGAAGGGAGCTTTGAAGATCACCCAGTCCAGCCCCCCTGCCGTGGGCATGGACACCCCTCACTAGACCAGGTTGCTCAGAGCCCACGTCCAACCTCATTTTCAACTCTTCAGGGGATGGGGCAGCCACAGCTGCTCTGGGAAACCCATTCCAGCATCCCACCACTCCAGCTTTGAAGAGCAACCTACCTTTTCTTTATTTGAAAATCCCCAGATTCCAGCACCAATTTCAAGGGCAAAAATCACGAAAAGGAAGAAGAAGAACTAGAAAAAAAAAAAAAAAAAGAAAGACCACACTGTTAGTGAAGACCACAGCACCACAAAACAGCATCACACAAGTTTACTGCAAGTTTGTCCAGTCTTGGGGGAACTGTCACGCAGTGTTCACCCAGCTGGAGTTCAGGAACATGGGCAGAACTAGGAAAGAGGACACACTGCACTGGGTCAGCACTTCTTCCCAGGAGCGTCAGAAAGCCTAGGAGTGCTCTCCAAGCACAAGTCCTGCTTTTTGATCAGTGTTAATTAAAGCCAATCATCTGTTAACTCAGACTTTGAAGTTGCCCAAGTCACTCAGACACATCACAACAGCCGACACCACTTCTTTTCCCCTGGTTTGTCACTCCTATTGCTTTAGGAGTCATTACTTAATCCCCAGCTTGCCACCACCTCCCACAGAGTTTATGGTCGCTTTGTTGTGTATTCCATAAAACAGAAATAAATGGGTTCTCTGTCTTTAATTGACTACCAGGTCCAAAACACCACTATCATTTAAAATACTCAGAATTACAAAGGGCTAGAGGCATCATTTTGCAAGAAACACTCGAATTTAAGTTCTTCCACAACACAGAAGGGGAATTGTTCTTTCACTGGCTATAGCAGCAGTCTTTTATTAACCAAGTCTTCTGGTTATTTGGATGAGTAGTTCTGCAAGTGTACAGATGTGCATGAGCCCAGTAAGCTCAACTGGGCCCCTCCAGTCTGAGAACAATGAGGTTGCTCTCCAATAATTGGCTTGCAGAGCAGTTGTCAACCAGAAGAGCTCATCCTGTGATTGGGAACAGTGGAGGCTTGTTGTTTCAAGGATCAAATACCACAGTCCTGGTCTCAAAAGATTAAAGATTGCACAACCCTCAGGGTCCAGGATAAGAGTAATGCTGTTTACTAGACAGTCTTATCAACACTTTTGTTCTGTGTTTACAACAATGCCAGTCTTGACACTTGGGTGTCTGAGTATGTCACACTCTCAGCCTCTCGATTCAAATATAGCAGGAACATTTGGGTTTAGGGCCAGAAATTAAAAACCATATTTAACATTTTACCATCATGGAGGTGACTGCGAGTTTAAACACTGCAGAGCCAAAACAATCACTATCTGCTGCCTTTTAACTGCACCATAATCTTCTCCTCCTCTCCCATCACGCTGCTAAAATTTTAGGCATTACTCTGAACACTTACCAGGCCAAGCATACACTGAGATTCCTGTGATGCACCACAGCACCCCAAGAAACCAACCAGCATCATCAGTGCCCCAGCTCCAATAAGGATGTAAACACCTAGGGAGGAGGAGAACAGAAACACAGATATATGGACTAGCTGAGACCTCAGCAGCAAGGCATGAAATCAGCTGCTCCACAAACAGCATTTGTAGCTTTTGCAAAGTTGAAGTTTCTTTTCTGAAGTGTTCCAAGAAAAAAAAAAAACAAAAAACCAACAACAAACAAACCTGTGCTTAATTTTCAAAGCAAACATCTCATAACTTGTGGGGAAATATACTGATACATAAAACCTTCAACTTGTAATAATTAATATGTAGCCACTACTGCAGTTTCATGAATTTCATAAAATGGGCAAAATAAAGCCACGTAAAACAAGCTACAAGACATTTTTTACCAACTTATCTTCACTTAGAGCTGGAATAGTGACTTATCAACAACAGAGCTCTTGAAGCAGATACCTCCTCAAGCTGTAACAAGTGTTGGAGCTTGTAAAATATTCTACAAGCTGAGTGTGTTGGAGCAGAGAAAGCAAACATTTCTGGGCTAAAAGACTCCATTTTATGCCCAACCCTCTGGCTCCTGAACTTGGGAACTGCCAGTCTAAGCATCACAACTGAGAGCTGGTGAGAGCAGCAAGATGCAGTGAAGCAGAACAACTCCCAAAGGATGGCAAGAAAAGTACTACTGTGGTGGTGAAACATCAAAGACTCAGCACAACATGCAGAGAATGAGTATGGCACTTCTATCAATGTGGACAAAAACACAGTTCAGAGGCCCAGTCAATACTAATTAAAGAAAGCCAGATGTAAGCATTTGTAAGTGATATATTCTATATGCAAAGCGATAAGATCAGCTGCCAAAATAAATACCTACTTGGTAAAGCATATGTAAGGGATTAAACCTGACCCTTCTTATCAGCAGGAAATTCCTGCACTGATTTTTTTTTTTTTTTTTACCCCAGCTTAAACTTTCTAACTGAAAAATTAAAATAGGAGTCCATCAGTACCTCTTATTTAAGTTTATTTTCAGGTGTACAGAAAGCCTTTGAGGTAACCTGCCTTGGTACTGGGTGCAAAATGACAGATTCTTTTCATTTCCTATTGGAAACTGCAGTCAGTAACTGCTCCCAGAAAATTAAGTTAAAAGAGCAATTCCTATTAAGCTTCTTTTTAAAAACTCAGTTTAACCTACAGAGATTTCAAGCAGGTTTCACTGGCTGCATTCAATCAGCAGCTCAGAGTATCACATCATAAAACTTTTATGTTTCAGGAGGTGAAAGAGTTGTTTTAGACTACCCAAAATAAGACTAGTTAAATATTTAGCTGAACAGCCAAGTTTAGATTTCTGTTCCCTTTCCAAGACACAGCCAAAAGCATCTGGAAACCTTCCTGGCAGCTGCAAGAACCACCCAGTTTGCTGTGATGCCATCGTATCAAGGGAAAAATACAGGTTTTCTCACAGATAAGCTTAAGAGGCTGCACAAGCCTAACTCCAACAAGCCTCCATCTTTCCTGTGGGCTCCCTTCAGCAACTGGAAGGCCACAATTAGGTCAACCCCAAAGCCTTTTTTTTTTTGTTTTCCAGCTGAACAATCCAAATTCCCTCGGCTATGTCAAAATCAGAGCTCATATAAAACCCCAACTCAGCTAGGAACACCTATGACACCAGCATAACAAACTGGAAGTGTTTGTGTCCCTGAACTGGTCACACTGCAGACAGAATATGTCAAGGAGTAACTTCCACCTGGGCAAGCTGAAGCTGCACTGATCCAGGTTGGCTGGAATAGCTGCTCACACAGACCACAGTGTTTGTGCACCCTTCCCATTCTGTTCAGCATAAATTAGCAGACATGGACATGTATGAGTTGTACAAATGCTCCCTCTGTGGGATGAGGCAGAGTTGTGGGTTTGGGTACCTTGGGTTGGCCACTTCGGAAAAAAAAAATAGTTATTGACGCCATCTGTGGTTACTCATCTAGTCTGGTGGGAAACTCTGCTGACTCGTGTTGTGAGGGGCATCGTGAAGAGACATACCAGGAGCCCCTGGGATTACAAAATGCTTAGCAACAGCAACCAAAGAGGAACTGCGGGATTTAAGATGGGAAAAGAGACCAAGAGCCAAGAAGCTGCTCGCGTGACAGCGCTGCTGTCTCCACCACAGCTCCCAAGGGCCCCAGCACCAGCCAGGGGAAGCTGCTCTCTGCCCCACCGAGGCTGTGTGGGGCTGCTTTGTCGTCTTCCCCCTTGAGGGGGAAGCAGTGTGGCCATCACCAGTGTGATCTGTCCCCAGCTCACCTGTGTAAAACGTCGTCTGGTTGGATTCCAGTTCAAAGACGCTTTTGGTCTGTGAATCAAAGTGAAGCCATAGCCCAACTGCAAGAACTGCTGTCCCTGCCAGCTGTAAGAACAAGGAAGCCTTGTTAAATGACACCAATTAATACATCCACCCTTACATTAGCAGCAACATCAGGAGCAAACACAGGACACAGCTTTTATTTCAAGAGCTGGAGACAGAGGACCAGCATAAAAGGATGGGGACACCAAAACACGAACAAACTTCGCTCCAGACAGGAGGCACCTTGTTGACAGATGCTTTACATAGTACAAAATCCAATGCCACAGGAGAACAATGCCATTTTTGTTCCTTACTGAAAATGTCCAAGGTTTAGCCAAGTGTCAGTATTTCCACTGACCCCTCCACCCATTGTTTCACTCTGTGTGACTGCAATGACATCGCATGGCTTAGTGATCCTAAAAAATCTTCACGCTGAAGGTCAAGTGTATCACAAGGAGAAGTGCCTTGTGAGGCCAGCCAGAAGTTTTAGTGCATTAAAAAGACTGTTAAGAATTCAGGGCAGCATAGAAGGGAGTTCAGAAAGAGTGCCATGCCCTGCAAAACACGATAAAACCAACCCATTAAGTCACCACACTGAGAGGAAGAAGATACTGGCTGCTGAAGCAGCAACACTGCTGATGTACAGCAATACAATCTAATTTTAGGTAATATTTGGTTTTATTTCATTGTTATCTCTGCTGTTTGCCTCCAGGTTCCTCTTAACATTGCTGCCTGTGTCTGCAGCAAGTCGTTTTGTGAATAAATTAGCTTTTGGATGAAACATCTTGCAGAAGGCATGGGAAGGGTGTTGCAAGAGAGAATTGCACTCTGGTAAGGCAAACACTAACAGCTTACTGGGAAGAGACTGAATCCTCCCTTGAAAAGAAAAAAAAAATGGGGTTGTCTTGCCATGTAAAAAAAAAAAAATCCAGGACAAACTAGAAAGCTGGAAAGTGTGCTCCTCAGCTCTTCCTTTAAGGGCCACTTAACTATCCAAAAAAAAAAAAACCTCTACAGAAGTGAGATGAGGACAGAGATCCCAAACGTTGCAGAAGACATTAAAAATTTAAACTTAGAAGTAAGCAGTAAGTTCATAAATTCTGGTCCTTTGGTCAGGTAAAGAATGCATGAAAAGAAAAAAAAACAACCCAAAAAAACCCCAAAAAACGACAAAGCCTTATCTCTTGATAAGAAGTCCCTTCTAGAAGGAAACAACATTCTTGATTTGCCTCCAAGAAACTGGAAAGCATTTATTAATGTCAGGTTTCAGTGGGAATATGGACAGCATTCCCACGGAAAACACCAGTGGATACATCCCTTCCACACCAAGCCCACTGGCGTCTCCCCTAACTCCGAGGGGTGCTCCTCAAAAACAGGGTCAGCTCTGGGGATTCACACAGGGCAGAGGATGGAGCTAAGAGAGGGTTTAAGGGCAGGGTTTTCTCAGCAGAAAACAGCCCAGCTGAAGTGCACAGGATTCAGGTATCAGCAAGGCAAAGCAGCAGGCCAGCAGTGCCAGGAAAACCAGCATTTCTTGTATGGCAGGCACCTGAGTCCCAAGCCTGCCTCAGAGAGGAGCTGCAGGGGAAACAGATCCGGGTGAAACACAACACACAAAGAGCCAAACCCAGGTGGAGGTCTCCAGACAGACACAAAAGGCACTTGGTTGGTGCCAGGGGTGCCTGCTCACCAAGCACACCTGCACAGCCCTCCCTGCCTGCCTCTTCAGGGCTATCCTCACCAAACTAATTATGCTGGGGAGCCTTGCTACGACACAGCAGGGTTATTATTTCCATTTACTGTGGAGCAGCAGCACCCTGAGGGGAGGGAGAGGAGCAGCAGTGGACTGGCAGGGAGAGAAGGGGCTGCTGCTCCACCTGCACTCCTCGCTCACAGCATCACCTCACAAAGCCTTCACAACCTCGTCTCACCTCAGTGCCTCAGCTCAAAAAATAGAAGAGCTTAGTGATGGAAACAAACAAAAAAAAAATCATGAACAGTTTCTGGCCTACAGTTAAGTCACCCAGTATTTAACAACACTGAGACTCACTGCTGGGTCACTGAGCAGCCTTCAGCTTTTATAGGGATCCAGAGCCACATCATTCAAAGAAACCTATAGCTTCTGCTTGCTTTGCTAGGAATTCAGGAACTGCAAGGACACAAGCCTGAGCACACCCAGCTATTCTCATCTACCTACAAGTAGCTTGACAAGCCCCAATGTCTGAGTAGAGAGCACTGCAAACAGAGCAGGGCAGAGAAAAGGACTACAACTACAACCCAGGGCTGATCCCCCAGCAGACCTTTCAGGCCAGAGTATTCAAATTGTGAAGAAACTTTAAGCCATACCACAATCACACAGATAATCCTAAAACTGCAAGCAAAGGAGAGGGCTCAGCTAATGACCTCCTCAGAAACAAACTGGTTGGTTCACATTAGAGATGGTGTACCCAGCACAGCTCCTTTCAAAAAACAAAACTTCACCCTCCCTCACCACCACCCAGAGTTAAGTGCTGGCATGTTTTCTCCTTGGAAGAGCAGTCAGCTCTGTGCAAAGGGTTAAGAATATACCAAAGAGGCAAGAGACCTAAGGGATCACAGAACTGTGATAGCACAATGCCAGTGAACTACTCCACAGCACTGAAAAAACTGGTAGAATAAAGTGGTAATTCTCTCCGTGTTTGACTAGAAATAAAATGCAGCTCCTTCTTTCAAGAATAAGCAACTTTTTGTCCCAGTTCCTTAAGGAAAGCAGACTTGTGTTCTCAAGTTTGTCCTCTTTCTACCCACACTGACCACTGAACTAAAAAAGGCAGTTTTAAAGCAGAAGGCAAGCAACTCGAAGCTTCAAGTTTCCATCAAAACAAGGAGAAACCAAGGACACACCAACACCAGCCTCTGTGCACTTGTGTTGCTCACCAGTGCTGTGCCAGCAGGTTTGGCAGCCGTGCTTTTCCTCCCTGGGAAAGGGGTGCAAGCCCCCTCCCCTTAGCTGCACGGCAGCAGATCCCCTGCAAACCTAGCTGTTGGGGCTTTTTTTTGGAAATCCAAGCGTTTTCCCGTCTAACAGACCCGTTTTGTCACAGGAGCTGAGCAACAGGGAGCGTTTCTAAGTAGGTCTATCCTGTGCTGGAAAAGAAATTTAGCAGAGAGAGAACAGCACTGTGTTTTCCCTGAAGCTGGTCTCTTAGTTTTGCATGCACAAAGTTTAGGAGCAGGTTTGTGTGCTTATCACACATGTAAGGTATTTATATTTCTGTAGTGGCAATTATGGCAAAAAGGAGCTTAGAAAAAAGGCTGGTTTTGTTTTGGGGGTTTTTTTGGGGTTTTTTGTTTGTTTGGTTGGTTTTTTTCTCTGATCAAAAGGTGAAGTTAAAGGGGTACTACTCAATCCCTGCACTGGAAAGTTTGTGGCAGGGATTTTCCAGCCACACCACGCTGACTGACATCCCCTGCTCAAGCTGATGAGCCTTCCTTGCTTTTCCCCGACCACTACTCACAACTCCCAGCTCAGTTCTGCTCCACTTGCCCATTCTGTGGCTAAAGGACAGAACTGGTCGTTCCTTTCCAGTCCTATGGAGGTTTCTTGGTTTGTTTGGGGTTTTTTTTTGCATCACATGCAAATACTCTCCCCTTGTCTCAAAAGCTCGCTCCTGCACACTTCTTTCTGCCTGTTCCAACAGGAAAAACAGCCTTTTTTTTTTTTTTTTTTTCTGCCTTCCTATCTCACACGGCCCTGCTGTGAAAGAATTCCCTCCTCCCATCCCACACACCAACAGGCGCCTTCTCCAAAGTCAGCCCTTTCCACTGCTCTGCTCCCCCCTTGACAAGGACACGATTTCGCCTCTGGTGTATCTAAGGGTGTGTCCCGGTATTTATCTCTGCCAGCCTGCTTTCCTTTAGCTTCCCATGTGCCAGGAGATAGCTGACAAAGGACCGCAGCCAGGACACACTTGAGATGAGGAACAACCTGTCCATCCTGGAGGCAGGAGCCACACGGAGCACCCTGCCCTCCTCCCCTCACCACCCCTGGCTAACCTGAACGTGAGCTCGACTATTCCTCAGCCCTGAATACTATCAAGCAATTCCCACTGCATTCCACCCCTCCCTCCCTCCCTCCCCAGCACCTGAGGTTTCACAGGCATGGTTTCCCAGCAGGAGGCTTGCACAGGGAGTAATTAGATTTAATGACGCTGGCGTAAACACAGGTTAAAAACCTGAGCTTTTCAAAACAGAAATTCCAAATTTTGTTAACGTATCCCATAGCAGCACATTGAGTGACGCTATTTTGGGAAGCTGGAAAGTTTCTTTTGGATTTAACAGCTATTTTGCAAGGACCATTTCGTTTAGTCCCTTCTCACCTTGTCACCTTGACCCATCCCTGAGAAGGAACAATCCCCCAGACAAGTACCCCACTTGCTACAGACATCTTACAGCCTCTTATCTTTCCACAGGGGGAAATACCTCTCCAGCTCAAGGTCCAAGCAGTTATCGAGTGCTTAGAGCTGGCAGATAAAGCTTTGGGAAGGGGACACTCTCCCCCAGCATCCCCCAGTTTACTACCACAGCCCTTCCTCCACTTCCACAGGGTGGAGGCACGGACAGGGAAGCAACGAGACACTGCAAGAACTCCAGATACGTGGCTGAAAGCCTGTGGAAAAAGCCTCTGTACATAAAACTGTGGGTTCTGCTATTTTAGCACAGTCAGGCCAAGCCTACCCACAACCTGAACCAAGCTCACTGCATCACCTGCAGCAGAAGGGAAGTGACTGTGTGGAAATATAGAAGTCAGTCAAAGATGAATACTGCATTCTGTGCTGTCAGCTAAGCATTGCATCCAACAGATGCAATCACTTGCTGATTTTTTTTTTTTTTTTCTGGAAGCAGGAAGGTATGTCAGGCTCTACACGACTGCTCCTTGCATAGGTTTTCCCCTGGGGTGTGCCAGGAGTACACTGAAAAAGCCACCATCATCACTTCACAGGCACTAGAACTGAAAGTTAAAAGATTTTACTCTGCATAAGACGGACAATCAACTCCTTTCTCACCGTCTAAAGACTGAACGA